GCCATTCAGGGATTTTTAAAAAACATGACCCCTCAGACAGGTTGCATTTGAAAAATTAAGGACCACGTAGCTAAGTGGCCTGGGTCTCATTGAAAACAATACTCATTTAATTAACTCTATGTCAGTGTAATGTACTTTTTTGTATTTTGCTATGATGTTTTATCCATGTACAGAACTTTGAATCGTCTTGCACTAAAATACGCTGCAAAGAAAAAAAATTAAGTAAGGTAAGGCTTCGGGGGGGTCGACAAGATACCCCCCCTCACCTAATGTCATGAAATTTGGATCATGTCCAAAAAAAATCCTAGATACAAGCGGCCGAAAAGAGCTTTCCTAGCAGGGTGGCTGGGCCCTCCCTTAGAGATAGGGTGAGGAGCTTGGTAATTTGGGAGAGGCTCAGAATAGAACTGCTTCGCCACAAGATGGAGAACAGTAACCTGAGGTTGCTTGGACGTCTTTTCTGGATGCTCCCTGGATGCCTCAGGAGGTTTTGATCAGCATTTGCGATTGACATCAGAGAGTTACATTGATCAGTACCTGCTCCAACAGGAAATTACAAGATGACAGGGAAATGTTTTTCATTTGCCTTATTATGGCAGCAGGGAAACCGTGATTGACAATTTTTCCAGCCAAAACACTGATGCTCAAATCCCATTTGGAGAAGTACTATCCTATGAGTTTTACATGGAACACTGCAATAAATGTGCATGGATCAATAATATATGAATGAATGATTGTTAACAGGCATCTACAGAGACAAATGATAGGCTGACAAGAAAATTAAGACATTTGATTAAAGCGTGTTGCAGGTGGGATGCAGCAACAGTAAAAGTTGTAGAACTGGTTTTATTTTGAGTTGCTATCGCTAATGAGTGCCAATAAACAGAACCCAAGAGCTACAAAGCAAATTTTGAAAACATAATCCAATTTTTTAAAATCAGGTTCCAGATAAAAGCTTTTTAAATGATAAGCATTATGACAAAATAATGATGCTGCTTGTTTGCTGGGGGATCCCCAGCTCAGAATCCACATTGTTCTGTAAGTGGAGCTCAGCTGCTCTCGAAACTTGGAATCCACAATTTGGAGCAGGATTGTTAATGTTGTTAAAGTCAAGTTCAAAACTTATGTTCAGCAAAACGATAAACTTTCATACTTTGGTTTTAAATAATCTGTAAAGGTCGATCCCAAATCTGAGTGAATGTCCACCTTACAACCAGCAAATTATGAGGTATTCCTTTACTTGAAACAAATATATATATATATATATATAACACCTCAGCACATCTCCCTTTTGGAGGCTAGGCTAGTTACGACTTCAGTGTAAGATAATGGCAGATCCAAGGTTTACCAAGATTTATTTAAGCTTGGGTAACATCCTAGCATTTAGGTCGGTGCCTCAGAGATGTGAAGGAAATGTGGAGGATTGCTCATTTTATACTTCAATCTCAGCCAAGTCTTCTTCCAAGCTGTTACCCATCATTATGGTGCTTCAATGTTATGGTGAAGAAATAACATTCATCCACAAAATTGCTACCAACGCCTGAGCGTTGGCCACCTTAGGTCGTGGAGGTGTTGTTGCACTCTGGTAAATCAGAAGGGTGACAAACTGATGTCCATAAACTATATTTAAAATATGTTTGCATTAGAAAAACAATTACTGATTAAGCTCATGTGGATCAAACCTGCTTAAATGTCTCATTTTGAAATGAAAATATCGAAACATCGCATCCGATATGTCCTATATATACTGTGTATCACCCATCTCAGTTTGCCACATATAACATGGTGTTTAGCAAAGCCTACCAAAGTTGTATTCTATGGTGTTTGGTGCAATAAAAGCAAAATATAAAGCTGAGCTATAGTGAGTGTTTAACTATATTTTTTAATGACTAAAGTCATTATTGTAGTGGACAACACAGAAGTTAAAATAACTCAAAAAGAAAAGGTAAGGCCATTTGTTGAGAAAGAAAGTGAAAAAACACTGAATCTCTATTGTTTGTTGTAGCTCACAGTCCACCTGTGCATGAACCAAGAAACAGGTTATTTGTGTTGCACTAAAATATCCCTGCCTTGTATTGGATAGACTTTGACACCATTCAAAGCAAAGAACCAAAAATATACAGCATAAGGTCAACTCTTCCTAACATATCATCTACTCTATGCACTACTAACTGGAAAGGTAAAAAAATATTTGTTGGGGCTACTTATCAAGCCATCACAGCAAAAAGAGTTAGACAAGAATTGTAGCTATATTGAACATAATACATTAGATTATTTAAGTCTGTAATTTTTTTAAGGCAAGACAAAAAATATTTATAAACAACTGATTAAGCTCTTCAAATATACTGCGTTTCAAGAATATACGTTGATTGAATAGTTTAGAAATGGAACCCTATCACTATGAAAGAAAAGCATGAAAAGTGCTTAAGTGTTAGAGCAAAAAAAATGGGATGTCCTGCAGTAATTAGTGGGCTCCGAGCTCAAAATAGATAGCAACTTAGTAAGCCAAGTGTACATCCTAATAGCAAAAGCTTTCTGCAAAAAAAACAAAAAGAAATTATTTTATTTAAGATTGTCCAAGGAAAGAAAGTAGCAATTTTATTAGGAATAATGACTTAGGGCGGAAACAATCGGATTAATCGTTTATTTAAATAATCATCAACTAATTTAGCAATCGAGTAATCGTTAACTGAAGTATAGAGATTTAACCCGATATTTGATCAGCTTCTGAGTTTCTAAAGTCTAAAAAAAAAAAAAAAATACTACTACTTCTTCCTCAAAAACTTTTTTTTTACAGACTTAAAGGCATACTATGCAACATTTTTCAGTTAATTAATGTGTTCCATAACGTTTTGGATGATTAAATGAGTCATTTCAGAATGAACAAAGGTATTCTCGGCCGCCCTGGTGGTCTGTGGGGGAAATATCACACTTGCAATTGCAGGAGCCCTCGGCCCGCACCCACAGGCTCAGAAGTCTCGCGAGAGTCGGTCTTGCTTTACGGCGAGAACTGCTACACGCCCCCAGTGAAAAGCATGCTCGTTGCTAGCGCAGTGGCGATCTTTGTGCAGTTATCATGGCGGAACCAGAGAAAACAGTGAAAGCCCATGTCGGAGCAGGCAAGAAAGAGGAAAAGGGCTCTGGACAGAGAGAGGAGTCGTACACGGGTGAACATCGGGCAAGCTTTTTCCGAATGGCGAGAGCTAAAAGAAAAAGAAGACTGCAAGGCTGACGCGGACCTCGCGTTTCTGCTGATGCGATTGTAAGTAACATTGGAATGGTTTCTCTCTGTGTGCATGTTCATACTTTCACTGTGTTAGTCATTCGTTGCGTTCTCCTGTTTGCTAAGCTCAAAACAACCGCGACTGGCTTGACGGAGAAACCAGGAGAACAGCTGAGCAAGTGCACTTTTACTTTCGCCCTCTGGGGGGAGCCTCGCTGGAAAATCAACCCCGGTTGCATAGTATACCTTTAAAGACTTCTAAAGATGAGGGAAAATTATTGATGCATTAAATTATCACAATATCTTCATATGCTGATATATTGCCATTTAAAAACACCATATCAATCTCTTTTACTAATGAAATATTGTTATATATCATCGTTATGCTACGAAATCCTCAGAAAATTCACGAAAATTTTGCCATGTTTTTATATGTTGATATATTGACGCGGTATCGATCTATTTTACTAACAAAATCTCACAAGAATTTGCAAAATATCACGAGAGTTTGTAACAGAACGATGAAATTTCATCAGATTTTGAAAGTAAAAAAGATCGATACCGCGTTTTTAAAAATCAATTTGATATCAGCATAATAAATATATTTGAGTATATTATTTTTCAAAGTGTCAGAAATGGATAACAAAACTGCTATTTTCAATGACTGCTTATTTTTGTCCAGCTTTAACATCGGTATCGATATCGGCTACATGAGTTTTAAAATATCGGCATATCGGATATCGGCCAAAATCCCAATATCGTGCATCCCTAATAGAGATTGTAAGATATGTCTTTAGCTGAAAGAGCAACCCACTTAGAGCAGTAACTATACAAAAACTGTATAACATTTTGCATTTAAAATGAAAAAATATATAATTTCCAATCAAGTGGAAAACTTAGATTCATCTGGCTTAATTTAATAAAAGATATTCTTTAAGGAACCTTTGGCTACCCAATTAATTGATCTGCAAAATAATTGTTAGTTGCAGCACTAATGACTAAAGCTGTTGTGTATCTTAGGCACACAAGGATACAAAAATCATTTGCCAACAGTTTTTGCAAGGTCAGCATTTTCTCCGCTATATTAGCAAACCAAACCATCAGAAATGAGAGCAGCCTTTCTAGGAAATCCCCCGTTTCATAACAGCTGCTGTGAAATGTATCTTCAACAAAATATAATTAAAAACAACAGATTTAATTCCTGGAATTCTACCCTGGTATTATCAAAGCTTCCAAATCTGAGTATTTCTAGTAATATTGAAGCTGTTTTTTTCCCCCTCAGGTGTTTTACATTGGCACTCCACAAAAATTAATAATGGGATGACCCTAGTGAGATGAAAACCCTTGTAGTACAGGGATGAAGTGTTCTTTGGCTGCCGACCAACTGTTTCCAGGGCTTTCCATCACATCTATAACAGGATTACTTTTAAAAGCTGTGTGGCCATATTATTTCACAGTTTTTCATTATTTATTCAGTTTGGAAGTTTTCAGTTTTTGGACTCAAGTTGAATAGAATTTAAATGAAACTAGACTGGCCCAAATGCAGCAAAAAATGTGACAAAGTTTGTAAAGCACAAACTTCTGTGCCAAATGGTAACAAGGAAGCTGATGCAGCACAAATCCTGCACACAGAAAGAGAACTGAAACTTTTTAAGTAAAACAGTGGAGTGAACTGCTGTGAGCATTAATCTGCTTCATTAACAGAACTGATTTGAAAAAAAAAATGGCATGACTTGACCTGAATGGGGCTTCCCTAGATGTTGAGCAGTAAACTTACCCCATGTACAACTGAAGAAACGGCATCTGTAACCTTGTTCGGTGTGCTGGGGTTGCTCATGGCTCTGCAGGGGAAGTTGCTTGCTTTTAGGCTCTGGTTTGGACTGGTGCGGCTTTAGCCCTTCTCTTTCTCGCTGGGACTCAGACAACTTTTGGGCAGCATAACCTGGTGAGAAACAAATTGAAGAGTAATTTCATAAGACCACAGTCAACTAAAGTCAGATAGCATATCATTTTAATATAGTCCATCACATGTGAAATAGAAAGAATTTATTATTAAATCACATTCTAGTAGCGATTAAATATACACCACAAAATCATCAGACTGCTTCTGACTCACAAAAGGGATTAGTGCCCAACTTTCCTTTTATGAAACAATTGGTTTGCCCAATTTAGGTCTTGATGATTCTGAAAACTGAATTTTTTCAATTTCTCAATAAATTTGCAAGCTAATAAGGAACACTGCCATTAGGAAATTAGAAGCAATCGACTGAATTCTGAGAATGTACCTCATCTATCCGATAGTCAATTTGGAGCAGATGTATCTAGAATAAGGTCCAGCAATCAAAGCCTGAAGACTGCAAAGATTCTTAATGTTTTAAAACTGAGTTTTAAGGCAAGCTTGTATTGTGCCTTCTTAATCTTTAGAGGGAAAAAATGGCAAAAATGTCTATATTTTTTCGTTTTTTTAACCTGGTTAAAGAATAATCATGGTTTTTTTTTTGTCAGAAGTCAAGTTTCAGGGCAACTAGTCCAGTACGGAAACCCAGAGGTGCCTTTCTACTCTAATTCTCTTACTCCAGCTTGTTCTGGGTGATCCAAAAGCATTCCCAGACCATGAAGGATATGTAGCCTATCCTTGATGAGCCTGCTACCAGATCTGCCCCTATAGTGTACTGATTGGATGGCCAAACAACCACAGGCGACTCGCTTTGATATAAAGTAGTAACAGCTCAGCTTCAGGTTCCCACATGATACCCACCCCTCTCTTTATGGCAAAACCCAACTACACTATGGGAAGCCATTTTTATTTAGGATATTGTTAGCTCTAATCCTCAAATCAATACCTATTTTAGATGGGAAACACCTCAGTGAATTACAATATACTTGGCAGCATTGTTGTGATAGATGCAGACTAATAGGCTTAAATAAACATCTGACAACATTTACTAGATTTTAGGCCTTGTAGCAATTCCCAGATACTTTAAAAAGGTCATTATTGCTTTAGTGAGATAAGAGCACGATAACAATGCTACTGTGCAGCGACCTAATGATAAGCAGCAAAGCAGACCTACAGAAACTTTAAAGCATCTCACAAACATCATAAATGTCATTATTGTAGTCCAACAGTAAAGGATTGACCTCCTCCCTTTGCTGTCAATATGCTAAGATTACTTTAGCAGACAGAAATAAAATCAAGAGCCCTGATAAATCCTCCTGATGTCTGAGCGCAATCATATCTATGACCTTGTTGACACTAAGGGATTTATAAAAGAGGCATTGAAATTAAAAGAATATCTAGGAGTCAGCCAAAGAAACTGAAATGCTCACATTGTTAGCGAAGGAGGTAATCCCTGCACTACAGTTCACAAGATATGACAATTAAGTGTGTGAGCTTGTATGTACTTAAAGATTACTTTCTCAGTAAACCTAGATCTGACCACTCTGGAAGAGACCGAGCTCACTAAACAGGGATAAAGTTACAGAACACTGGGATCCTGGGTAAAAGCCCTGGGAACCAGTTCATCTACCTTAGGGCAAGTCTGGAATAATACCACTAGGATAACAATGATCAGAGGCAATAACAATACCACCATGTGAAATGATCCGCAAGAGAGAGAATTAAATAAAACAAACTTTCAAAGTTTTCTGCCTTCTGTCAGATACAGTCTGGCTTTCAGTAAACCAGTTTTAGAAAATACCAGCTGTTTATTATGCAACAGCAGTAAAGAATTAAAACACTGATGAGTATTGACAGAAAAACAAGACACGGTTAAAGTTTGTCTTCTTTTCACAGAGCTACTGCAAAGATGCGTCAAAGACCAAGATTTTTTATCTCTAATTTCCAAATTTCCCATGCTAAATTTATTAACTGGTCGGGGGAAAACCTTGTTTCTGAAAGAGTTTAAAAACAGGAAAAAGGCAACTGCAACATAGAGCAGGCTTCCTCAATTCCGGTCCTTGAGGTCTGGCGTCCTGCACCTTATAGACATTTCTCTGCTTCAACACCCGAAACAAATGGCTGAATTACCTCTCAGCATGCAGTCACCTGATTATCTGACTTGGGTGCGTTGATGCAGAGAAATATAAAAAGGTGCGGGATGCCAGGCATGAAGAGCCAAAATTTAGGAACGCTTTGGTAGTTTTAAAAATCTTAAACTCTTAATCTGATAGAACTTCATTAATCATCATTAATGGATGAATCCACTTATGGGAAAAGAAGTATGGATAAGCAAATTAATATAAAATGAGCTCACTTTTAACAAAATAGATGCAAGAAGTCTTCTTTCTCCATAAAGACGTACGTATAAAATCAAGCCATCTAACAATGAGGGAGGGGGATAGTGTGAATGCACTATTTGGAGATTAAGTCTTAAGTCCCGGATGATATAAGTAATGAGCCATTTTATATGCATATTGTGCAAACTGCCTCATTCTGACCTCTTTCAAGTAGTCTAGCAGCAGATGAGGCTACTTCTAGAGCACCATCTCTCTCAGCATTACTGGGTATGATTGAGGCCACATGAGTACCCAGTTTTAAAGATGCAAGAACAGGAACAAGCCCTGCAAAGCAAATCAATCTAAATAAGTTTATTTACACTTAAATAAAAGATGATCTGCAAATGGGATTTTTTTTTACCCTTAAAATATGATAACTAGATATTATGCACTTGGAATAATTGTCTTACCACCTCTAGTCAAGAAAATAACTTATTTGGATTTACAATTTTTGCTATATGGGACAAGTATTTTAAAGTAGAGAGTCACTAGACATTGACAGCTTTGGAAGTAGTTTGGTCTTACCAGTCAAACTAGTTATCTACTTTAAAAGGTAAAGATTTGACTGTAACAAAATACAAACTAGTAATAAGTCAGAAAATCCTACTATAATATCCATCTCTATGGTGACTTTGCTCAAAAAATTTTATGATTTATTAGTTTCCATTATCTGCTACCATATGATCAGGCATTCTCTTTGAAGCAGGTTAGTTTGACAACAAATAAAGGTTATAGAGGGCAAGTAATTAGCAAATCATTGTGATGGGATTGAGACGAGAGCAGAAAGAAGAGGTTGAATTCATGATCAATAACTCAGTTTTAAAATAAAACTGAGCCGTGGAGGAAAAGATACCTACTGAATTACTTTCTCCAGTATTTCTTGATAAAATTAACGTTTTAGTAAGAAAAACTACAGGGAAATGTTTCCCATGGCATGCTTCTGTGGCCCAAGAGAAGTGGAAAAAATAATCTAAATGCTCTCTAGTTTTTTTTACTCTTCAACACATATTGAGGTCTGTGACATTGACTGGCAGTTCCCATCCACAAGAAGGGGGACTGGATGGTGTTTTCTACCACAGGGGGGAATCACACATCTCAGCCTTTCCAGGAAGGCCTATGCCAGGAAGCTGGAGAGGAGAGTCCGACTTATTATTGAACCTGGGTTTCAGGTGGAGCGTAGTGGTTTTCTTCCAGCTGTGGATCACCGGACCAGCTTTACGCCCTCTACTCCCTCTGGAGTTTAGAGAACACAGACGACCATGTCTCTCGTGGTCCGTGTAGTGGGTGCTCCAAGAGTACAGACTCAAAGGCCCTTTAATAGGGGCCATCCAGTCTCTGTACAAGCAGAGAAGGAGCATTAAGTCATGCTCCTGTTCCCGATGCATGATGGACTCCAACAGGGCTGCCCTCTGCCACCGGTCCTGTTCATAACCTTTATGGAGAGGATTTCTAGGTGTAGCCAATGGCCAGAGGGTGTTTAATTAGGGGAAAAGCAGATTTATTTCTCTGTTTTTTGTAGATGTTGTTCTGCTGGCTCTAGCAAAGACCTACAGCTTGCACTGGGGCAGCTCACAGCAAAGTGTGAAGTGGCTAGGATGAGAATCTGCTCTTCCAAGTATGAGGTCATGGTTTTGACCAGAAAAATTAGGTTCCCCAGGCATGTCCCACCGGGAGGAGGCCCAGGAGATGACCCTGGAAACAATGGAGGGTCTCTCTGCTTGCCCTGGAATGCCTTAGGTTTCTTCAGAGGAACTGGGGGTGGTGTCTGGGGAGACTGAAGTCTCTGTTGAGACTGCTGCCCCCGCAGCCAGGTCTGAGATAAAATAAAAGGCGACAAGCATGAATAAAAAATTTAAAAAAATGGAGAAAAAACTGAATTTCAGGTTTCAATTACCTGAAAGCCATGACATTTAACCAAGAAACAAATCCTTTTTAAGTGAAACTATGTCATAATCTGCCCTTTAAATTAAATACATTTTTTATGCCATAATCTATTGAGCCACACCTTAATAGAAATCCATTTCTCCTTCTTGGCAAGTTTGATCATTTTTCATCTGTACTTTGAGAACCCTTTCATCTCAATTTTTTTACTTTTCTCCATTGAAGGATAAGAAGAAAAAGCACAACAGTCAGATGGCTGGACAGAGGTCATGAGCCTGGCTTGAACTCTAGAAAAGCCATCGCACGTGTCTAAAACCAGCGTCCTGGCGAAGAGGCCCTGACCGGGCACAGCTTCAGTCTGCAGCCCGACACGCGCACACCAACCGCAGATTGCAGAGTCATGTACTAATTCAATCCTTGGAAGAATGCATAATTAAAGAACAACTAAATGCAAATAAATTGTGTCAAAGAAACTGCTTGTAACTATAAATAGAAGCTTAATAACAATGTCCAAACCTCAACAAATGCAGCCCTTTACTTACAGTATAAAGAGCAGGACAGTGAAAGGGAAGAAATTAAAAGTTTCAAACCTGATAAAAACAGTTATTTTATTTTTTTAAAAAGCCTACAAAGAAACAGGAGTTTAAGTCTATAAAGCAACAAAATGTCTCTTTTTGACCTTTTTTATTGCTGTGACACATCAAAGTGAGATAATATTTGTCCTTGGTGTTTTATGTGGCACAAATAAGTGCAACATAATTGTTATTTCTGCCATAAATTAATCCAACACATCTCTATGACAGCAATTAACAGTAGCAGAATAATTCTATTAACAGAAAGTGATTTAAGAAATCAAATGATCAGTTTTGAATTTGGTAGATTTTAGAGATCTCAGACTATGTTTGACAATTTAAAACAGCAGATATAATTTCTATATCAATTAAAGCATGGTTTTGTAAGTAATAACCTTTCAGCAGAATTGGTTTTAGTTTATACCTTCAAACTGTGGAGGTTATCAGAACTTGTTTACATTTGTTCGGCAATATAGGCTGAAAGCCTGACTCATCACATACCTCTAGTCAACTGGATATTAGGAGGCTGGGATTTAAACAGAAAAGACGAAACAGGAAAAGTGTCCACTCAGGTGGAACCAACACCAGATAAATGATTAACCAAAGTTTAACAATCATGAGACAAAAAGCAGGAGTAGGTAAATATAGATGGCACAGATGACTAACAAATGCATCAATAAATAGTATAAATACCTCAGTGTTCTCACTGCATTGAAGCCACCGCAGACATTCTAATGCATTTAGAACTCTGCTGTGAAAGGATGAACAAAAAAAGGGAGGGGAAAGAAAAGAAAAAGACGTAAATATAAAAACCTGAAACTATAGTGAGAGAAAAAAAAAAATGTATATATAAATTATCCGTTATAAATGTAGAGCTTGTTGACTGACCGCGTACCATCCAGCTTCTCGTCAAACAGGGCGCTCTCTAAGACCTACAGGCTCGGACTGATAACAGCAGCCTTCCTCCTTGGGATTATGTTTCCTCCTCCAGCCTGCTGACAAGCTGCCATGTGACTCCATTCAGCACTGAGTCAGAGGCTGCTGCTCAGACAGATGGAGTCTGATATGTGTCTGATACACAAGCTCAAGCTGATGGAGAAAATCCATTCCAAGTGATTCCCAATTCTCCATCTAACCTAAGGAAGGAAACTGCCAAGAAATGTTCAGGACAACCCCAGAACTAGGTTTAGTTTTTCTTTCCTCTAATATATTGTTTATAATCTTCTTTCCTTTAGTCTCATAGAAAATTATTAAACTTTGGTACTGAACACCTTGCAAAAAAAGAAAATCCACATGCCTCCAATCCCACTGGTCTCATTCTAGTTATAATTTTGGTTCTACATTAACAGATCTACACTGCAGAGAAAAAAAAATCCTAAAACTCTTTGGTAGTAAAGTGCAGAGTTTCATGGTTTCTGAAGGATTAAATTATGACAATATTCAAAAACGGTCCTCATATTTAATGCTGCCAAATGTTCCTTAAATGCACATAGTTCTCAAATATTAAATAACGTTTGCAGCCACACAGAGTACAGGGGAAGGTCGTTAATTCATTCAAGCAAGAAATACCAAGTAAAAATACTAAGCAAGAGCTAACTTGGAAAAACTGTTCAACTGCCTGTAAATATGAAATAAATAGATTAAACAGGATACTTTTCAAACAAACATTTAAACTAGCATTACATGAGACGAATTATTTGTTTCAAGTGTGCAAATCCTCTTTACAGCTAAAGAGCATGTTAAAAGAAAAAAAAAGAAAGCAAATAATGCCTGTAGAAAGCATATATGGAGACACATCTTCTGATCTAAGGGCCCATTACTATTTTTGGCTAGTAATACTACAATAGTGTGGAGCCGTTTAAAAAAAGAAAAAAAGCAAATGCACACAAATATCATTTTCACCGATTGGTCAAGACCACTAGCAGAGAATGCATCATTTCCTTCCACCATCCTACAACAGAAAAAGAGATGTAACAGAACGGAGGTTTCTGTACTTCTTGGGTGTTCAAATACAGTTTAACTCAATCAACTGAGATATTGTCCTCTAAACATATGGCAGAAAGTGTCTGCACCTTTTCACACTCCACATATGAAACATTTTAAAACCATTTATTTTACCTTCTACTCAAACAAGCGGCTCTTCATTAACATCCTCTATTGCCGTTTCTGGTAAGCTTGGCCCCGGCACACATGAACAATCCCAGGCAACCGCTTCAGAGTTTGCTTAAACCACACCAAGACCTGTAGTCGTAACCATTCCATTGAATGGTTCTGTTGTCCATTGTAGAACCCAGGATGGGTTCATACCAGCATGATCCACTCCAGAGATGAGAAACGGGCACCGAGAGCATTCCAAAGGTTTGGTGTGAGAGCAATGTATGAACTAAAATTGCTGGAAGTCCTTATATGCACTGTATGAGTGAAATCTGCAGAAATTAAAGCAAATCCTTAACATAATAGACTATGAACAAAAAGTAGATACAAATTAGGGAGAAAAAAAAAAGTTTGGTATTAATAACAGACCCAAAACTGAATTTCGAAAACTTTTGAGGAAAAAAAACAAAAGGCAGATCTTTGATGATTTTTGCTTAGAAGTTAAAGTAAGGCATCCTGTTGAATGACCCGTCTATGTAAAGTGCTTTGAAATGACGTGTTGTGATTTGGAGATATATGAACAAACTGAACTGACTTTTGCAAATAACATATGATTGGAAAAGAGTTAAGATGCATGTTGATATAAGAAGGTCATTTTAAAACAAGCAAGCCAGCACCAACCTCATTAAATGTAGATTACCGGTAAGAAAAAATATATATATTTTTTAAATTAATAGCAACTCTTAATTTGATAACAATTCAAATCAATTCAGTTTATTTCTCTAGCTCCAATTCACAACACGTCATCTCAAGGCACTTTACAGTTCACCAGATCATACAGTCAAATTGATTCTAATTGATTTCTATCTAAGGAAAACCAGTTGATTGCATTAATTCATTGACTCGAAGGCAATCCCTCACACTAACCATTCTTGTAGCGACAGTGGAGAGGAAAAACTCCCTTTTAACTGGAAGAAACCTCCAGTAGAACCAGGCTCAGTGTGAGAGGCCATCTGCTGAGACCAACTGGGGTTCAAGGAGACAGAAACAGAGACACAAAAAGCAGCTGTAAAAGGCCCCCGTCCAGGAAACACACAGCCAGGCAGACAAGCTCTGAACCAACTCCCATGTCAGAGGATGAAGAGAGAACATCCAGCCAATCACAGTCAGAGAAACAGGACTACACTGGAAAACAGGCTAGACTAAAAGGCTGAATTGAGTATTTTCTTTTATTTACTTTTAAAGCCTTGAATGGCCTTGCCCCAATTTACCTCTCTGAGCTGCTGCACCCCTACACTCCCAGCCAATCTCTCAGGTCAGCTGATCAGCTGCTCCTGACAGTGCCTAAAGCAAGGCTTAAGCTCAGAGGGGATCGAGCGTTTTCTATTGCAGCTCCAAAACTTTGGAATGGATTGCCGCTGCACATTAGACAGGCCACCTCTCTGTCTCATTTTAAAACTCTTCTTAAAACCCACCTCTTTTCTTTGGCTTTTAACACCATGTAGAGTAATGATTTTATGTACACATGTTGATTTTATGTATACACATGCATATTTTTATCCTGTGCGGGCAGTGCTTTTATTTTATTTTATTTACTTTTATTTTAGTTATTTTATCCTTTTGTGCAGCACTTTGGAAACCTTGTGTTTATTTAAACCGTGCTATATAAATAAAGTGGATTGGATTTTCCATTTCTCTCTACATATTATGATCACACATTTAAAGGATGAAACATGAGGTTCTATTGTATAGGATTGTGGCTTAATTTACCAAATAAACTTTAACTAGTAGATCTATAGGTTTGTCAACTTAGTTCAGTTTTTGTGAACTATGAACATGAGCTAGTTCATTTTAATTATGAATGGGCACATCATTGTTATCGTCAATAATTATAACAGCCATTATTGTGCTGATTAAAGATCAGAACTGATCAAGAAAAATGTGGAATTCGGTCTCTGGTTGGTGGATTATTTCAAAAGGTTAGAGGGCAGTTTGAGCTGATAGGGAAAGTAGGTCTGCAGCACAGTTCACCAGAAGGTGTAAACAGCATTACTATATAAAGACCAGAGGTGATGAAACGCCCTGCTCCCACAACGTCATCTTCATTTAGTTTTTATATATATATATATATATATATATATATATATATATATATATATATATATATATATATATATATACCTACCTACTTTCCAATGAAAATACATTTGGCATCCTTTTCTTACTCACCTCAAGGTTTCTGCCTTTGGGTGAAAATGGCTCCTTAAAGACTATTCCAGGTGGAAATAAGCCTAACCTCAGAATGCTGTATAATTTAAAGCCACTCTGCACTGTGAGTAATCACTAGAAGCATTTCCATCCAACTCTCGGTATTTTAGTAAAAGGAAATACCAATTAGACTCGTTTACATCCCTTGGAGTCAGTTAATCAGGTGATGCAAAGCATAATGTCATATGTTACTTTTACGCCAACTAACAAACAGGAAGTAGAGGTAGAAAGTTGCTTTTAACTTTGTCATTTCAGCTAGTGTTAGTGATGGTGCATTGACTTCGGGTACATTGAGAGAAGTTTAATTCTAATGCTTGCATTCAGGATGCCAGTAGAAGAAACAGCTGATCAGTCATGTGAGGTAAATGTTTGATATGTCAGAACTTTTGACAATCCATCCCCTATTAAGCACATTTACTCTATTGAAAAAGTCCAACAACGCCTGAAATGGTATATAAACTAAATTTAGTCAATCAGGCCTTAGAAGCAGGGTAATTTGTATGCCTGTCCTCTTTACTCGTGTGTCCAGGTGATGGTGATTCGCTACCGGAGATACTCCCTCCCCCCAACTTATATTTTCATTACACTGTCACAAATACAGAGCCAAGAAATGAAGTCTCTGCATTTAACACATCCCCTTGGGATGTATATAAAGCTCTGTCTTCCCAGCTCTCGTCTTTCTGTTGCTCAAGTCTCCCTGATGGGCATGGTGCTGTTGTGAGTTAATCAGTTTACCTCTAGTATTTGATTTTTTTTCTGTTGTGTTTTGCATGATATCAGTTACCCTTAATCTTTGTTCTTTCCTCTTTTTAAAATATAAATTTCAGCACATGTGGAATGGTCTCCCATGCATACCGAGCCAGATGCAGCAAGATTTCATTTTTAAATACTTAATGTGATCCTTGACGCTTTCCCCTGTTATAAGCATTGTGTATTCTTTGTATTATAAAGCTGAAATTATTGGAAAAACATCTTGAAATATACCTGCAAGGTTACAAGTCCCCAATGCCCCAATAAATCTTAAAAGATTGACTTGACATGTGTAAAATGATGGAGTTCTGGTTTTCTTCCAGGTCTGATCTTCTGTTTCCGATTTAAAAAAGTAAATAGATTCGATAACAGGGAAAAGAAAGTTTACCAATTCTGATCTGTGGTTGGAGGATAACTTTACAAACATTTCCTCAATACTTGGTGGAAACATGTTTCAACTTCTGGAGTAATGCATTTTTCTTTGTCAAATGTCCTTTTTACCAAATTTGGTCACCTGACTTTCATCACTGTAGATGATGACCAACCAGCATCTTCACGAGGTCTTTCTTTTATTCCGGGGGTCGATATGCCTATTTCACACCTAAAACTACGGTAAAGCCCCCAGACCTCCAAAAACAGCAAGCAATATTTAACCAGACTTGAGGTCAACGCTCTCTTTACATATAGGCTGATTTCACAGTGATGTTAAGAAAAATGTATTTGAGGAACCCTTTAAAACATTTCTATCAGTTAGCCTCCATGTGTATATTAATGAGAAATGTATATTTTATTTCGTTTTAAGTGAAAACTTTGATTTAATAATCTGGGAAACCTTTACAT